AAAACAAACATCATTTCTTATTTTCAAAACAAACACCAAACACTTTCAAAAACCAACTTTCAAAACTTAAAATATTTTCAAAAGTCCAACACTTTGTATACGTTCTTACGAACGAGAACTATTACAAAGTTTGCCTAAACAAATGGGCCTTTTCAAAATACTTTCAAAACCACTACAAAGCACATTTTCAAACAAAAGCAAGTGATCTAGCAAGCAACTAAGAGCCCATAGATAACTATGGATGAAAAGGGTGCTAACACCTTCCCTTTTCATAATCTACCCTCCGAACTCAAAAAATAATCTCAAAGGTCTTTCCTGTTCTTTTCAACCTTTCCTTTTGGATAAAAGAAAAGTCTGTGGCGACTCTTGCTAACCGCAACAATTGGGATAAACGCAAAACATCCCAAGTCAGTTCTCCCACCGTATTACAATGTCCAATCGTATTACATACATGCAGAGATGCCTTCCCCAAGGCTGCCACCTAGCTTGTAACTAAACTGCAACCCATGCCACCTCTTATTCACCAATAGGGATGGCGACACCTTTCATTTTTATACTCATTCACTAAGTCCAATGGCGCCTCCCTACACGTCCAATTGTATTACATGCATGCAGAGATGTCTTCCCCAAGGCTGCCACCTAGCCTGGACCTACACTGTAACCCATGCCACATCTTATTCGACAACAGGGATGGCGACACCTTTCATTTTTATACTCATTCGCCAAGTCCAATGGCCCCTCCCTACACGTCTAATCGTATTACATGCATGCAGAAATGCCTTCCCCAAGGCTGCCACCTAGCCCGCACCTACACTGCAAGAGTGACACTTATCATGCATGCATGCACCCACCAACCACCTCACTTACTCTATGATAAAATTTTGCCTATAAATACATAGCCTCACACACTTCTATTGCATCCACAATCGTCACACTCTCTGCTACAAACTATTTCATAATATCAGACAATTTTAAAGTCTTTCATAATCTCAGACAATTTCAACAATGGCTCTTCTCACAATAGGCGATTCTCCCAGGCACAAGGGACAATATTGCAGCGTCTGTAAGTTTCTTATATACTTATAAAATTTTCATACTTCTATTAATGCTTTATTCATCTTATGGACTCTTACACTTTTTACATTCTTAACTTAGGATACTAAAAGATTCAGAATTCGGTCACACAACTACCATGCTCCCGACCCGTTGATCGTACCCTATCTCGAATACGCAGGTTTCAGAAACATTATAAAGATCTCCAACTGCACGATTGATTCAAAGTTCATACTTGCAATGTTAGAAAGGTGGAGACTAGAGACCCATACATTTCATCTACCAATAGGTGAATGTACCGTCACACTAGAGGACCTGTACATGTTATTGGGTCTCCCTGTCGACGGTAAGACGGTTAACGGGTCGGTTCAACATCCCAATTCTATGTGTGAAGAATTGTTGGGCAAGGATATGGTTGAAGGTGGTGGTGCAAGAGGTTAGGGTATACTATTTACTGAGCTCAAAAATCATTATGCGACTCTGGAATTGAATGAAAATTCCTATGAGCTAGCTAAGGTAATAAAAGATAGAAATTATATAATGATACTATTTGGAACCTTTTTATTTTCTGAAAGTACGGGAAATAGTGTAAATTTTATGTATTTAAATTTACTTAGAGACTTTGAAAAAACTAGAAAGTATAGTTGGGGTTCTACTATTTTAGCCCATCTATACAGTTCCTTGTGTAAAAATGCAATCAAGGAAAAATGTATATTTTATGGCTGCACTTTTTTACTTCAAGCCTGGGGTTGGTGGAGAATGGAGTCCCTAAACCCCGTCAACAACAACACATTTATTTTCCCATACGCAACAAAGCAAGTCATTAACTTATATCATTTATTATTATTCATCTCTTCACCAAATATATGATAAAAATAAAATATTTTTCAATTCCTTTAGGTACTGTGTGAGGGGTATGAATTACGGCAAGAATCCAAGATTCAATGTTTCTCTATATCGCAATCTATTGGATCACCTTGGCCCAGATGATGTACGTTATACCTTTCAACTTTTCTACTTTTAAATTATTTATTTATTACGTTTTCCATTAAGCTGATTTAATTTTATCCGCATTTTGTCTGAAGAGCATATTTGGGTTTGGACCATGAACCAAACTCCGAGGATGCAACAATTTGGAGCGCAAAGACTGCAATCATACGATTCAATGTTGTGGAGATACACCATAGCGACCGTGTCAAGATGCAGTTTGGAATGCATCAAGAGATACCCTGTGATCCAACTTGTTTGTCCCTGTGGCATCTCAAAAGGGTCGACGCCCAATGGGGTCTTACCAACTGGAAAGATTTTGCTCCAGAATGGTGTAAGATGTGGCAGAGGCGTCACTGACATGTCTTACAATTCCCAGTTTTCCTCAACCATGGTAATATGCGACACACAGATCAATATTTAGCTTGGTACAAATCAGTTAGTACCCCGGAAATGCACGTGTCTCATCAAAGGTATTTGGTTGACCCATGAACACAATAGGCACAACCCTCATTTCTCCAACAACAAATCCAACACACATCAACCTCCCACCAACCTCCCCGACGAAACAGAACCACAAACACCCAACCACAATCACCACCACAATACGATTACACCCACATGCCCCACAACCAACCACAATCACCACCTTAATACCAATACCCCCATATGCCTCACACTCAACCATAATTTCAATCACAATACCAATACACCCGCATGCCCCACACACAATTTCAGTCTTCTACATATCCCAATGTGGGCCCCTTAACATCTAACCTTAGCCCTGATCTGGGATTTTTCGAAAATTATGAACCAACCGACCCAACTTACCATCAACCACCACATCACCAAAGCATCCAACATTCCCAATACCAAACACCTCAAGATCCATTTCCTTTCTACCCCCCATACTCAGACGACCAGTGCTACAGACCAACCATGGAACCCCATCCACCACCAACACGACCAAACTTTGAGGGTATGGGTAACCGACTTTACCAAAGCATATCTTCTAGATATGGAGATCTGGCCGATTTCATGGATCCTGAATGCATTGAATTTGCTGGGCCATCACCCCTGCCACAACAGGAAATACGACGACACCCAGCACGGGAAAGGCGAGGACGGGGATGCGGAACTAGGGGTCATTACCGGGTTCCGGGGGACCACTGATTAATTTGTATTTTTTTGTGTAATCATATTGTGTAAATAAAAAGTCAATTTTCTTGATCCTATATCGTTTACGTAACATATCGCATTTAAAATAAAAAACGCAAAAAATTTCCTGCCATTTGCACTAAGGCGCCATCTCACTTGACTTAGGATAAGCCTTTTACACATAGGCGCCAAGTGAGATGGCGCCTCCCCTTTAAAATAAGGTACATGCGCCAACTGGGTTGACTCCTCCCTTGTGGGATTTTCTGAAACATGGTTATTTGTGAAATTTTTTTTAATACCTGGTTATTACAAAAACAATTCTCAATCTTCAATCCTCAATTCTTCGTGTGGCAAAAAGTCCCTTCTCTCTTCTTAGAAACAAACCTAAGTAGTATCAGGTCATCACCCAGCAGTGCAAAAAGTCCAAAGTATCCTTAATGATCAAAGACCACATCAAACTACAAAAAATTAGAATTATTATTGCGCTTGCCAACACGGGCCGTGTCAGGTGACACAGGCACCTGTATTGGCCATCTGCCTTTTTCATTTAAGTTATCAAGTATCAGGCCTACTGACACAGGCCGTGTCACACCCTAACTCCTCCTAGTTTTGGCTTCGTCCTTGCTATGATCCTGACACGGCCTGTGTCAGGTGACACATGTGGCCGTGTCAGGCCTCCTGTAGGTGGATATTTGCATTTCTTTTAAAACTCCGAGATTTACACCAATTTGTCCCGACTTAATCTTTTGAACTTGAAAATGACAAACTACACAACCAACACATAAAATATAGAAGAATGAAATAAGACACTTGACAAAATAACGAAATGATACCTAAATCAACTGTAAATAAAGGTGGAAAAACCACTGATCAGGTGCCTTAGTAGGTGACACATATCTCCTACAGGAAGACGAAGCGCGGAGATGCACGATCCCTATAAGTTGACGCCTCCACATTTACTAGTCTAGAAACGACATGTGCCTACGATGATTAAGCTTTTTCCCTTTGGACTGATGCACGTTGCGTAACTCTGTCGTACCTCAATCTATCTTGCTTATCAGCCATAATACTTATAAGTAAACCACATAAGCATTACACAAATGAAACAGAATGAGGTCAAGCCAAACACCGCAAACTGATAAATTTTGGAGATACATCTGAAGTCTGGAAATCAAAATGTTGAAAATTTTCAATGCAACTCCGTAATGTTCTGCAACTCATATGAACAACAATGACGGAAATACATTCCATTCAAATATCCAAAATAATGAATTGATCATTTAAACTACACATCATACACATTCTTCATTTAAATAATATATTTAAATTACCTATTACATAATCTAATGCTCAATTTCTACAAATAAAAAATTATCAAATGTGAGTTAAGAGACTTTGAGACTTCAAAATTTAAAAAAGTATTTTGAGAAGTGAGAAAAGAGAAGAGACTCTGACGCCTTTTTAATTAAAATAGCTTCTGAAGATACAATTTTATAAATTATACGAAGATACATTTGCATAATTTTTCTTTGACATAGCCTTCAAGTCTGATTCGAAAACAATTGTGTTTCGAATATGTCAGAAGATGCATTTTATGAATAGTTGTGATTTTTCCATAGAATAGAGAAGCAATTCCCAAACAAAGTTCTATTCGGATAAAGAAAGTGACTGGGCTTGGTAACTAGCAAGTGAGGCCCAACCAAACATAGTAGAGTTGAAAACGAAAAGCAGTGTAAGTAAAGTAAAAAATGCAAAGAAGCAGAACAAGTACAGAAAGAGAACAGTGAGCTTTTGCATTTCCAATGAAACTCGGTGGAATCAAATCGGTAGACAACGCGCACGACGACTCAGTCTGGGCAGTCACATGGGCACCCGCAACCGCCACCCGACCTCCGCTCCTCCTCACCGGCTCACTCGACGAGACCGTACGCCTCTGGAAATCCGATGACCTTATTCTCGAACGCACCAACACCGGCCACTGTCTCGGCGTCGCCTCCGTAGCCGCTCATCCACTTGGCTCAATCGCCGCCTCTTCGTCCCTCGATAGCTTTGTTCGCGTCTTCGATGTCGATTCCAATGCCACTATCGCTACTCTCGAAGCTCCTCCTTCTGAAGTCTGGCAAATGCGTTTCGATCCCAAGGTATTTCGCATTGCATTTTTTCTGGTTTAGGTTTTTGAGAGAATTCTATAATTTTTGTTGCTTACACAACAATTCTGTTAGTTTATTGGTGCTAAACCCTAAATTGTTGAATATACCTAAAAATACTCAACAATCTTGTGGAAATGAGTAGGTCTGGTGTTGAAGACTGTAGAGAAATGCCAGTGTTCTTACAAATGAATTTTTTTCCTTCAAGATTGATGGTGCTTTTTAGTGAACTTAAGGTAGTATTTGGTTTACATTTTGGAACTTAGAATGGAACTGAACCATGTGCGTTTATTTTTTGTGTTTTGGTCTATTTTTAGAATTGAATAGAAAATAATGTAGTGTTAAAATAGTAGTATATTTTGGTTTTACTAGAAAAGTAGAAAGGAAAAGATCAGAACAAATGTGTTTTCCGTTCTGTTTTGTCCTAACTTATCTGGTAAAGATCTGTCTTCAAAATCAGGACTCAATTTATCTTAGGATGTGTTTGGATGGAGAATTTGAGGGAATGGGAGGGTTTGTTTTTCTTTACTCAATTAAGGAACCTATATATGTTCTTATAAATTAATTAAGTGTGATTGAAATGTTATATTATCATGTATCATGTTATTCTTTCAATATCTTTAAAATTGAAATATTAACCTAAATATAGATTTAGTCCTCTAAAATAATCAATTCAAACATACCCGGAAGTTATATGCTTGTGTTATGAATCAATAGCTCTAACACTTGCATTCTTGTATAAATACATCTGTTTTTTTTTTCTTTCCAAGGTAAGGATTTTGCTTTTTAACATCATTGTTGGGATGTGCTTAACAACATAGGAACATATAGTAACTAGCTTTCTTCCCTTAAGTAAAAGCATTTTTCGCCAATATTTTCTCATGATACCTCTGATTTCACATTTGTAGCATGCTTGTTGACATTTTCTTTTCTTGGTCCTGCTCAGGTGTGTTTGCAATTGGCGGTTTGACATGTCTAATGTTTAAAACCTATATCACCCATTTTATTTAAGAATGTATCCAACTAACTTTAGTGTATAACCCAGTATCAGAATAGCCCATTATTGCATACAGGGGCTTGTTCAGTTCCTCAGTTTTTACACTGAAAGCTGCTAGTTCTGTTGATGGGAATCATACCTTGTTCTGTTGAGGAGAATAGCCCATTATTGCATTCAGGGGCTTTATGGAAATGATACATGTTCCACTATATATGTGCATCATTCGAGATATTATTCAATGCCTTTTGAGTTTACACACTAGTACAAAATGAGCATCTCTTCCAGAGTTTATTATACTATGCTATTGGCCATACAATAGTTGTTTAACCATTAAAAGTTCTGAACCTTCAGGGTGCCATTCTAGCAGTTGCTGGTGGAGGTAGTGCATCAATCAATCTTTGGAACACTTCCACATGGGAACTGGTTGCGACCCTTTCAATTCCTCGTGTAGAAGGACCCAAACCCAGTGACAAAAGTGCCAGCAAGAAATTTGTCCTATCTGTCGCATGGAGCCCTGATGGAAAACGACTTGCATGTGGCTCAATGGATGGCACCATTTCTGTTTTCGATGCACAACGGAACAAATTTTTACATCACCTTGAAGGCCACTTCATGCCTGTGCGTTCTCTCGTTTATTCTCCTTACGATCCAAGGCTATTGTTTTCAGCTTCAGATGACGGTAATGTCCACATGTATGATGCTGAGGGGAAAGCCTTAGTTGGAACCATGTCAGGACATGCTAGTTGGGTTTTATGCGTGGATGTGAGCCCAGATGGGGCGGCTATCGCCACTGGTTCAAGTGATAGAACTGTAAGGCTCTGGGATCTTAACATGAGGGCGTCTGTTCAGACTATGAGCAACCATACAGACCAAGTATGGGGAGTTGCATTTAGACCACCTGGAGGAAATGATGTGCGAAGCGGTCGGCTTGCTAGTGTATCAGATGATAAGAGCATATCACTGTATGATTATTCCTGATTTAGATATTACTTGCTGTATCTGTACTTTATGTGTTGATTGATATTAACTTGTCAATGCTTTCTTTGTCTACTAACTTGGTTTGAAGGAAATGTTTGGTTGGACTTGGACAAGCTGGCTTATGTCTATTTTATTCTGTTTCTTTGTTAGTTGTAATTACTGAATGAATTTTTCCCAGTCATTGCGTTGAAAATTGAACTTTTTTAAAGACATGTTCTATTACTAATGTTGAACAAAACCGTTAAGACAGATGTGATACTCAATTGAAGTAATTACACATTGTAAATTTGAATTGCTTTAATAAAACGGCAAATGCCTTGTCAAAAAATGTATTGGTTGCGAAATTTAAAAAAAGCATCAAAGTTTTGTTATATTCGAACAGTTCCAAAGAGATCTTCAAGCAAGATAAAATAAGATGTCGAGGAAAGCATGGAGAGATTGCTTTGAAGTAAGAGATAAGACAGACATAAAAGAAAGCATGCTTGAAAAGCGTTAAATTAGGTGATTGAAGAGTAGAAGTGCTAGAAGTCATTTTTATACATTAGTTATACCTTTTGTTATAAGTAACTTTCAAACATCTTTTCAAATAGAAGATTAGTTACGTTGTTAATTAGTCAACATTTAATATTCAAATGATGAATCATTTAACTTGAAATCCTTTAGGATCTAACTCGAGTTTGAGATTGATCTTCAAATGCATTGTTGGTAAAATCATATTTTTCAATTAATAAATTGGCACTTGAGTGAGACCAAATTAGGAATAGTTCATTTTGAATTTTAATACTTTTATGCGATTATGTAACAGTACAACGACTCATTCTCCTCATAGAATAAATAGTAATTTTCCTAATAGAATAACGGAAAAAACAATGATTTGAATGAAAACAATAAAGATGTTAATATGTTTCTTATGACCTTATTTTCGAATTTGTTGATAAGTAAGATTAATATTGATGTTAAACAGGCAAATAGTTCACCATTACTAAGAGTAAACAGAACCATGCATTCTTATGACATACCCCTTAGATTTATACCACATATACAAGTGTTGTGTGAACATGGTTTATAATTTCCATGTTGCATTTCCTAATATAGTGTTGCAACTAAGATTCCCAAAGGGATTAGTATTCCCCCGGACCGAAAACTAAACAGATCAATTCTTAGAGACTTCGAGTTCAAAAGAATAAGCACAGAAGATAATGATATTCTTATAATTCAATTTTCTGAGGAAGAGATAAGAGGAGCGATGTGGGATTGCAACAACTTAAGTCCGAACGAGGTAAATCTAGGGTTATTAAAGAATTCTAGGAAGTGTTCAAAAGAGATTTCCGCAAATTTATCTCAGAATTCCACCATAATAACAAATTAGTTAAGGGAGTAAACAATTTCTTCACAACAATAATCCCAAAAGTAGTGAATCTGGTTAATTTGAAAGAGTTTGGATATATATCGTTGATTGGAAGCATGTATAAAGTGCTTGCTAAACTTCTTACAAGTAGGATGAAGAAAGTGATTCATAAGGTGATATTAGAAGCACAATTTTCTTTTTTGGAAGGGCGATAAATTGGAGACTGTATACTTATAACAAACGAGTTAGTAGAGGATGTCAAAAGGCGGAAACGGGATTCTTTAATGTTCAAAGTAGATTTTGAAAATGCATATGATGCAGTGGATTGGAAATTCTTGGATTATATAATGGAGAGAATGGAGTTCATCGAAAAATGGAGAAAATGGATCTTTGAATGTTTGTGAACAACAACAATTTCGGTATTGGTAAATAGGAGTCCTACAGAAGAATTCAAGGTAGGGAGAGAATTAAGACAAGGAGATCCATTGTCACCTTTTCTTTTCCTGCGAACAACAGAAGGTTTCAGTTAAATGATGGTCAATAGTGTGCATAGAAAACTCTTTGATGACTATGAGTTCGAGAACAGTGAAGTGAAAATCTCTCATGTCCAATATGCTGATGACACTATAGTGATAGACAAAAGAAGTTGGAAGAATGTCTGGGCAGTCAAATAGACCTTACAACTCTTTAAATTAGTGTCGGGATTAAAGGTAAACTTCCACAAGATTTCACCAATTGGTATCAATATCTCTTCTGATTGGTTGGAGGAGGCGACATCAGTACTTAATTGTAAGGTGGGACATACTCCGTTTAAATATTTAGGGCTAGTTGTTGGAGGTAATCACCGTAGGGAAGACGCACTGAAACCGATGATCGACATAGTTAGAGGCAGATTGACATCTTGAAAAAACAATCAACTGTCAATTGGTGGCCGTATCGTCCTTCTTAAGCCAGTTCTATTTGTGTTATCAGTATACTATCTTTCCTTCTTTAAGACCCTAATATGTATTATCTTTAAATTGGAATCTATGTTTAAGAACTTTCCGTGGGGTGTGGGATGGAAAGTAAATTGAGTGCAGTAGGACAAGATTTGCAGAGATAAGGAAAAAAAGAGGTTTAAGAATAAAAAAATTTAAAGGCTTTTAACTTAGCTTTGTTAGGTAAGTGAAAATAGAGGCTCCTTACTGAAAATAATAAGTCGTGGGTTATAATTTTAGAATGCAAGTATGGGACGATTGGGTTCAGAGGAGACAAGGTTGATAAATTTAGTTTATTATGGTGAAGAGACTTACAATCCTTAGACAAAGAAGAAATAAGGTTTAGTCAAAACTTGTTTGATATTAATGTAGTCACGGAAGTAGGGGATGGATCAGAATCATAATTTTGGACTGACCCTTGGTTGGAAGAAGAATCTTAAAAAGTATATATCCAGAGTTGTATAGGCTGCCTAGTGATAAGAATTCTATGGTGAGAGACGCGATTAGAAATGAGGATGGGAATTTAGTTTGGAACTGTAACTGAAAAATAAGTTTAGATAGGGAAGATGAAATACGAGTGACTAAAATATTAGAAAAGATTCAAAGAGTGTCTTTGAAGGTTGATATTAAGGATTCATGGAGGTGGTATAAGAGTGTGAACACAGTTAAAGACATATACTCATTGATCATAGAGGTATGGTTACTCTTGTAGCAGAGGATAGGGAATTGGCAGCTGCTTAGAGTAATCTAATCCCCGTGAAGGTTTAAGTTTTGGTTTGGAGAGTGAGGCAAATAGAATTCCCACTAGAGATAATCTAGTTAAGAGAGGCATATTGGTTGATTTTCAAAATTCATGAACATTTGGCTACGGTAGAGAGGAAAATGTTGCTCATATCTTTTTTCGAATGTCCGTCAACTTGGAATGCATGAAGTGAGGTGTTGGACTTGAGACTTCACGCACAAGAGGAAGGTGAATTGCGTGGTTTGAAAAAAGATGGTTTTGAAAACTTTTCGACATTAAATTAGAGTTAGAAAACATTTTTCTATTTGTAAACAACAGAAAAATAAATATTGAAATAAAATGCAGAATTTAAAGAGTTCAGGGGAAGAAGAAAAAACACCAAGAGTTATAGAGGTCTGGTCAAAAATAAAAGTGACATACCTCTCTCCCCAAGAATTGGTCTTGATAGTTTCCAATATATACTTGAAAGCTTTTAGTAGGTGAATCTCACGAACCCCTTTATACAAGGAAATTGTGATTGTCCTACAACCATAATAATACAAGACATAAGATATGATTGTTTGCATCTTCTCCATGGAAATTGTTGATATTGAAGTGGCCAAACTTACTTCACAACTGTACATTGAAGTGATTAAAATTCTCTCCACAAAAAGCAACTAGGATCAATATGGATTTAATAGGATGACCATTAACTTCTTGAGATTTTAAAAGGCTGATCTTCTAACCTATAGTTTTGAACGTGCTAACCATGAACCTAATGGCAAGTTCATAAATATTTATAATCTTCATCCTTTAAATGAACAAGGCTTTCTAAGATCCTTAAGGTAAGTTCATCAATATCAATGTTCTTCAACCTAAACAAATATCAAGAACTGATCACTTAATCCCCAGCAAAGCTTTTAACGGGTTTACCTTCTAACCACATATTTGTATCCCTAAAATGGATTGTGTTCATCTAAGGTGCATCAACAACAACCTTGGAGAAGTTATACATTTCTACCCATCCAGAATTACATAGACACATCACTCACAAAATATATTTCCTTAACAAATCATTTGTCTATAAGAACTAGTGAGAGAAAGTGAAAACTTAGAGAAAGAGAGTGTGTGTGTTAATACACAATTCATTTTCTAGAGGCTTTGAACCAAGGAATGAGACGTTTATTTATAGGATTCAAATCCTCCAAAACAGGAGACATCATTAAATAAAAAATGATTGTTGCTAATCGATTAAGCCAATCGATTAGCTCATTTAAAAATAATGGCCATAATTTTCAGAATAGGTAAGAAGTGATATATATTCGTTGCTAATCATTTGAGTGCATTTAAATTGCCTTGTTCCTCAAAAGCGCGCCAATCTAATCAATTGACACTTTGTTCTAATCGATTAGTTTTAGTAAAAAATGTTTTCTTGGATTTTTGAATGCTCTCATCACTTTCTATGCAACTTCTATATATACTTCTCAATGTGTATTATTTTTTCAAAGAATTTTAAAAAAGGTTTTAAGTGTGTGTGTGCTTAGAGCCATCTACTTCCGTATAGAAAGAACTTTTTCTTTTTACAAAGGTCTCACTAACTTAGTAAATTAGAATAACTTATATAAGCCTGTGTATGATGTATTCATTGTGTTGACACTTTGCTTGAGATCTTATGAGGATTTTGATATAATCCATTTGGTTTCCTTTATCTGAGAGTTTGTTGATGAGGCTTCCATGGCTTTCATCTTTAACTGCTTGAGTACATTCATTGATTTTCTAAAAGGTTCCATCTTTTACTATGCTTAATGTTATCTTTTATTTTCTTTTACATTCGTCATCATGTTGCAACTTTATCATGTTGAGTATCTATTTTATTCTCAATAGTTGTCATCATATTGCATCTTTTTCATGTTGAATGATCTTTATAGTTGTCATCATCAAAATAACATCTATT